GTGGCAGACATGAAGCGGTTCAAAGATAAAATAACGGGACTGTTACGGGAGTTTGAGCAACGCTTTCAGATTTATGTTTATGTTTTTATGTTGATGTGCTATTGTTTTTAATTGATTTTATTTGTATATTTAACCTATTCTTGACTCTGTGGTTCTTGCACTTGTTTGGGGAACAGGATTTCATTATTTTGATCTACATTTCTGCCTGAGAAATGACACCCTGATATAGTTCTGTGATCTGTGATATACTTCTGTGAATCACTGAGGCATTGTGTGTTTGTGTGTTCTTTGTCCTCAGAACTTTCAAATAACTTGAGGTCTTTATGATTAATAGTGATGTTGTGCTTTTGGACACTGTCCTCAGGCTCCAGCTTTATGTTTATATGTTTTTATGTTGATGTGCTATTGTTTTTAATTGATTTTATTTTATTTGTATATTTAACCTATTCTTGACTCTGTGGTTCTTGCACTTGTTTGGGGAACAGGATTTCATTATTTTTATCTACATTTCTGCCTGAGAAATGACACCCTGATAAAGTTCTGTGATCTGTGAAACAGTTCTGTTAATCACTGAGGCATTGTGTGTTTGTGTGTTCTTTGTCCTCAGAACTTTCAAATAACTTGAGGTGTTTTATGATTAATAGTGATTTTGTGCTTTTGGACACTGTCCTCAGGCTCCAGCTTTATGTTTATATGTTGATGTGCTATTGTTTTTAATTGATTTTATTTTATTTGTATATTTAACCTATTATTGACTCTGTGGTTCTTGCACTTGTTTGGGGAACAGGATTTCATTATTTTTATCTACATTTCTGCCTGAGAAATGACACCCTGATATAGTTCTGTGATCTGTGAAACAGTTCTGTTAATCACTGAGGCATTGTGTGTTTGTGTGTTCTTTTTCTTTAGAATTTTCAAATAAACTTGACGTGCTTTATGATTAATAGTGATGTTGTGCTTGTACTATTTTGGACACACTGTCCTCAGGCTCCAGCTTTATGTTGTATGTTGATCGTATTAAAACAAAGAAAACAATCTGAAGTTGTTGTTTTTAAGTTATATATACCATGATTTTTCCGGTCCGGCCCACTTGGGAATAGATTTTCCTCCATGTGGCCCCTGAGCTAAAATGAGTTTGACACCCCTGATGTAGATTGATGAGGAACATTTTTTAAAATCCATTTTAGAATAAGGCTGTAACGTAACAAAATGTGGAAAAAGGGAAGGGGTCTGAATACTGTATGTTGAGAGAAGCTGGATTTTTCAAAGCAATATCATGTTTACATTGTACTGTCAACCCAAAGCCATGATTTCCCCCTCACAACACAGCTGTTGATCTGGCAAGCCAAGATCTTATTTTTAATTTGATTTTATAAAGGGTATGAAAAACAAATATATTAGAGCTACGTAAATATACACCCTATAGGCCTCAAACTCAACTCTGGACACCGAAGCCAGTTCCACTGTGTTTTTCATTGTTCCCCTCCAATCAGGGACTGATTTAGACCTGGGACACCAGTTGGGTGCAATTAATGATCAGGTAGAACAGAAAACCAGCAGGCTCCAGACCTCGTAGGGTGAGAGTTGAATACCCCTGCCTTATAGCCTTCACACAGATAACTTGCTTCTGATGGATATCTGAGTAACACGTGTCAGGCATTTAGAGTGAAATTAATGTAGCTTTAGGAATAATCACTTTAGAAAGGTGCAAATAATGCATTGAAAACAGCCCCCTCAGTCAGTTGCTTTAGCTGCTTTCCAAGCAGCACTGCTGATATAATGTCTATGTCACATCCGACTAAGAGATTTTAGGATGAAACAGATGAGAAACTACAGTTGGAGTAAGTGGTTCTAATATAGTAGTGGTGCTGTAATGATGCTTTAATAATATAAGAGGGCAGGGCCGGGCAACTCCAGTCCTCGGGGGCCTGATTGGTATCACACTTTCGCCCCAGCCCCAGCTGACTCTCCCGACTCTAATAATCAACTAATCATGATCTTCAGTTTACAATTAGTTTAAATCAGCTGTGTTTGCTAGGGATGGTGAAAAGGTTTGACACTACTCCGGCCCTAAGGGATCACATTTTTATTTTGCTACTGAAATGTGAGATAATTTCAGACGGATGTTGTCTAGAGAAGTTTTCTACCATCCTGATCTTTGGGACCCCTAAGGCATGCAGGGTTTTGTTCCAGGCCAGTGGCCTAGGCCTACCAACACACCTGATTCAACTAATCAAGGGCATGCTGATTCATTTAAATCAGGTGTGTTCATAGCTACTAGGCTGGAATTAAAGCCAACACATCCTGTGGGATTGAATAACCTTGATCTAACTGATTATTACTTGCCTACTGGACTTAATTCATTTGTTAGCTTTACATCTCCTTTCAACTCAGGAAATCGGTGCATTTGATTGACAGATTATTTATGCCTCAATGTCATGTCATGGTTTCTTAAGGTCCAGATAGAACATTGTGAATTAAATGTCTACCAAAGGCCTAGTTTCTAGAAGGAAAAAAAAAAAAAAAAAAAGATGAGTATAGGCCTACTAGCCTATAAATGTCCACTTTTATGTTTTGTCAGAAAACAAGATATTTTACAATTGAGACCTGTGGCGAATGGAATTTGCATTGGATGTCTTACCTTTCACAAAGAAACCTTTGGGTTTAGCCTAATGACACATTTTTACAGCCTGAATGTGCCAATAGCTTCTTCAAGTTCACTATAGTATATAGACTCAGAGAATAGTCTTTCTTTACCTTAGGCAATTTGTCTGGTCAGTAGAGTACCACAATATGAGTCATCATACCCATAACACCTAGCGGTCAAACAAGGAATTGGTTCCTTTCATTTTTCCCATAAGGGATTTCAGAAACACTTAAGGACTGTGTTTCATATAAGCTTAACCTGGTGTGACGTTTTGATAAACGTGTAAATTTCTCTAGGACAAGGTGAGTTTTATCAATATATTCGCCTGTATTTACACCCCCCAAAATGTAATGCTAATTAGCTGCTAATGTGGCTATCATAAAGAACTACAAATGAAACGATGATCTGGACGAGACTGCCGAATCGAGGCAAAGGTAAGAATCTCTGGATTAACTAATGTTAATGTAGTAATGAATAAATTGGCTACATTTCTTTAAATGGACAATTCTGTGAACTGTCTTGTGCAAGTTTTAAATTGACACAATACCTGTTAGCAAAGGTGTCAGCTAGAGATTATGTGCAGGAGCTTGCAGGGATTTGTAGTTTTGCATGATGTCTACTTTGATGCTAATTAGCATTTGAGAGTAAATAGAGCCGTATATATTGATAAGTCACCTTGTCCGAGAGAGATTTACACGGTTATCAAAATGTCACGAAAGGGTAAGCCTACACGAAACACAGACCTTTATTTTAAGTGATTCTAAAATTCCCTATGGCAAAAATGAATAGTGGAAAAACAATTGGAACCATTTCCCTGTTTGACCGCTATAGGGGATGTGCTGGCCCCAGCCTGTCCATGGTTGCACGCCAAGCAAAGGCCACCAAGCTCTAAAGAGTGCACGTTTAAACATGAGAAAACGCCCGCCAAAAGGACATTCTGATGTTGTCCATCCATGAGCCTATAATTTGGACTAACTGATATTAGTCACATATTAATAGGTACATAGGGAACGCGTTCCAGTTTTAGACTGAATATCACATTTCCCTACATGGCATTGTATAGGCCTCTTTTTCTTTTATTTTTTCGTAAACATTAAATTAAAACAATTCAAAAACAAATACAAGAGGAATGTTTTTATTACATGTCAGATGTTTATCTCCTATAGGCTTCAATTTATGTATGGGCTTCTTCACCATTCGCTCTCAACATCGCGGGTCTTTTTTTAATAAAGAAAGGTTTGACTGAATATCATATTTCCCTACATGGCGAAATTTTATTTTTCGTAAATACCAGACTGATCCGTGCAGCAAGCTGGCAGGATCAGGTGGCTTCACAAGGATACTTTTATTTAGCCAAACGCAATAATGAAAATGTCAAAATTAGCCTAACACAAGTTGTATGAAAGACTGTAAACATGAAATTAAAACAAAAAGAAAAAAAAATACAAGAGGAACATTTTTATTACATGCCAGATGTTTCTCATATAGGCTTCAATTTTATGTATGGGCTTCTTCACCATTCGCTCTCAACAGGGCGGGTCTTTTTTTAATCAACGTCTTAAAGCTTCGGTGGGGATATTATGTTGGAACATTGAAGTCGGCCTTCATAATTTTTTTAAGGACAAATTCAAATGCAGATAGCTGACAATTCACGTCCCATGCTGAGTCGCCAAACTCATTGGTGAGACTTTCAATGGACATAGACCCGGAAAGTTCAAGTATATGACAAACAATAGGGCAATTACAGTGATTCTACATGAGAGTTTGCATTTAATTTATTGTAGACTATACTGAAATGAAAATAATAAGTATTTGTTTTCCATAAAATAGTAACAGGTGTAATACATAGCATTGAGGTTGGTATCAGGAATCATTTTAGTGTATCAAAGTGATGCTTCTAATACAGTTAATGGGGAAAAATATCAGTCTATGTATTGCCCCATTGTGTCTTGTCCCTGCATTAGGTCACTCTGTTTTCTCCCTAAAAATATCACTCCCATCTTTTGATGGCCATCGACCAAGGGAATAATAGTTATTGAATCAAACATTCAAGTCCTAAGAGCACAAAAGTGAATTCATGGTTTAACGCACACATTTATGGTACAAAAGCAATAGAGCTCCTCCACGATTCTCAAACAGAAGAAAAATTAATTTAAACCGGCATATCATATACAGAAAGAACACAGGCCTACAGTTAATTTCCAACTCATTTGCTTTTTGAAGAATAATACAAAAAATATACAAAGATAGAAAATCAACCAAAGGTCAGAATGGATGTCCTGGTTCCATCAAAATAAATACCATAATATATTCTCTCTCTAATATCCCACTTCTATACCTCACGTTCTAAACATCAGGGTCTGTACTGTGATGGGAGAGGGATGCTTCCAAATCGCTGTGGCGCTGCACCCAAGGCAGTTCTGAAACCTTGTTGTGACGAAGGCATCCCTGCACCCATTCCCAGGTTCATCCCCAACCCACTTCCCGGCCGGGCTAGGTCCTGGTTGAGCATGCTGGTGTAAGGGGAGGCTCCGTAGTTGAGGCCCATGACGTAAGGCCTGTGAGGCTGGGTGCTGGGTAGCACCATGGGGTGGACATGCATCCCCGGGGTGTTGAAGGAGAACTCTGGCGGTGGGCTGCTGGGTTTGGATGGGGTGGAGGTGAGCCGATCCATGTCCTCCAAGGGTTTGTGGGGAGGGGGGACGAAGCTGGACAGGCCCCCGTAGTCAGAAGGTCTGAGTGTGCCGGCTGGGAGCGCCTCGGCCACGAGGGAAGGCCGGATCCAGTCATCCTTGAAAATCTGAACCGTCAGCGTGGACACGAGGGGAAAGAGGCGGTTGGTCACATGGGCCAGCACCATCTGCTCGTTGGCATCCCGGCGTATTCGGACGTGGACGGATCCAGCCTGGACACAAAGCAGGTGGAGGAGGAGTTAAAGAGACAGTCTTTATTTACTCTACATCCTCCCTCCCTCCCTCTAGTTCTCTCCCCCTCCCTCCCTCTAGTTCTCTCCCCCCCATCTAGTTCTCTCCCTCCCTCCCTCCCTCCCTCCCTCTAGTTCTCTCCCTCCCTCTAGTTCTCTCCCTCCCTACCTACCTCCCTCCCTACCTCTAGTTCTCTCCCTCCCTCCCTACCTCCCTCCCTCCCTCTAGTTCTCTCCCTCCCTCTAGTTCTCTCCCTCCCTACCTCCCTCCCTACCTCTAGTTCCTCCTCCCTCCTACTCATCTCTCCCTCCCTCCCTCTAGTTCTCTCCTCCCTCCCTCCCTCCCTCTAGTTCTCTCCCTCCCTACCCTCCCCCTCCTCTCAGTTCTCTCCCTCCCTACCTCCCGCTCACCTCTCATTCTCCCCTCCTCTCCCTCCCTCCTCCCTCCCTACCTCCCTCAGTTCTCTCCCTCCCTCCCCCTCCCTCCCTCTAGTTTCTCTCCTCCCTCTCCTCCTCTATTCTCTCCCTCCCTCCCTCCTAGTTCTCTCCCTCCCTCCCTCCCTCCCTCCCTCTAGTTTCTCTCCCCTCCCTCCCTCCTCTACTCCCTCCCTCTAGTTCTCTCCCTCCCTCCCTACCTCTAGTTCTCTCCCTCCCTCCCTCCCTCCCTCCCTCTAGTTCTCTCTCCTCCCTCCCTCCCTCCCTCTAGTTCTCTCCCTCCCTCCCTACCTCTAGTTCTCTCCCTCCCTCCCTACCTCTAGTCTTCCTCTTCCCTCCCTCCCTCTAGTTCTCTCCCTCCCCCCCTCCCTCTAGTTCTCCTCTCTCCCCCTCCCTCCCTCCCTCCCTCTAGTTCTCCTCCCTCCCTCCCCTCCCTCCCCCTCTAGTTCTCTCCCCCCCTCCCTCCCTCTAGTTCTCCTCTCCCCCACTCCTCCCTCTAGTTCTCCTCCGCCACTTCCCTCCCTCTAGTTCCTCCCCACCCCCTCCCTCTAGTTCTCTCTCCCCCTCCCTCAGCTCCTCCCCGCTCCCTCTGTTTTCTCCCTCCCCCCCCCCCTCCCTCTAGTTCTCCCTCTCCTCCTCCTTCTAGTTCTCACTCTCCTCCTTCTAGTTCTCTCTCCCCCCCCCCCTCCCTCGTAGTTCTCACTCTCCTCTTCTAGTTCTCCTCCCTCTCCTCCTTCTAGTTCTCCCCCCCCCCTCCCTCTAGTTCTCTCCCCCCCCCTCCCCCTAGTTCTCCTCCCCCCCCTCCCTCTAGTTTCTCTCCCTCCCCCCCTCCCTCTAGTTCTCTCCCCCCTCCCTCTAGTTCCATACCTCTCTCTCCCTCCAGTTTCCCCCCTCCCTCCCTCCCCCGTCCCTCCCTCCCTCCAGTTCCCTCCCTCCCTCCAGTTCCCTCCCTCTCTCTCTAGTTCCCTCCCTCTCTCTCCCTTTAGTTCCCTCCCTCTCTCTCCCTTAGTTCCCCCCCCGCCCTCCCTCTAGGTTCCCTCCCCTCCTCTCCTCTCTCCCTCTAGTTTCCCTTCGCTCCTCCCTCTAGTTTCCCCCCCCTCCCTCTCTCTCCCTCCCTCCCTCTAGTTCCCTCCCTCCCTATCCCTCCCCTCTAGTTCCCTCCCTCCTAGTTCCCTCCATCTAGTTCCCTCCATCTAGTTCCCTCCTCGCTCCCTGCTCTCTCCCTCCCTCCCTCTCCCTCCCTCCAGTTCCCTCCCTCTCTCCTCGTTTCCCTCTCTCTAGTTCCCTCCATCTAGTTCCCTCCCTCCTCTCTCCTCTAGTTCCCTCCCTCTCTCTCCCTCTAGTTCCCTCCCTCTCTCTCCCTCCAGTTCCCCCTCTCTCTCCCTCCAGTTCCCTCCCTCTCTCTCCCTCCAGTTCCCTCCCTCTAGTTCCCCCCTCCCTCTCTCTCCCTCTAGTTCCCCCCCTCCCTCCCTCTCCCTCTAGTTCCCTCCCCCCTCTCCTCTAGTTTCCCTCCCTCCTCTCCCTCTGTTCCCTCCCTCTAGTTCCCTCCCCCCTCTCCCCCTCCCTCTCCTCTCTCCCCTCTCTCTCCCTCCCTCTAGTTTCCCCTCCCTCTCTCTCTCTCTCTCCCTCCCTCTCTCTCCCATCCCTCTCTCCTCCTCTAGTCCCCTCCTCTCTCTCCCCTCCTCTCCTCAGTTCCCTCCCTCTCTCTCCCTCCCTCTCTCCTCCCCTCCTCTCAGTCTCTCCCTCCCTCTCTCCTCCCTCCCTCCTTCTAGTTCCCTCCCTCTAGTTCCCTCCCTCTCCTCCTCCCTCCCTCCTTCTAGTTCCCTCCCTCTAGTTCCCTCCCTCTCTCTCTCTCCCTCTAGTTTCCCTCCCCTCTCTCTCTCCTCCCTCTAGTTCCCTCTCTCTCCCTCTAGTTCCCCCCCTCCCTCCCTCTCTCTCCCTCCCTCCCTCCCCTCCCTATGTTCCCTCCCTCCCTATCCCTCCCTCTAGTTCCCTCCCTCTAGTTCCCTCCATCTAGTTCCCTCCATCTAGTTCCCTCTCGCTCCCTCTCTCTCCATCCCTCCCTCTCCCTCCCTCCAGTTCCCTCCCTCTCTCTCGTTCCCTCTCTCTCGTTCCCTTCCCCTCTAGTTCCCTCCATCTAGTTCCCTCCCTCTCTCTCCCTCTAGTTCCCTCCCTCTCTCTCCCTCTAGTTCCCTCCCTCTCTCTCCCTCCAGTTCCCATCCCCCCTCTCTCCCCTCCAGTTCCCTCCCTCTCTCTCCCTCCAGTTTCCCTCCCTCTAGTTCCCTCCCTCTTCTCTCCCTCCCCTAGTTCCCTCCCTCCCTCGCTCCCTCTAGTTCCCTCCCTCCCTCTCCCTCTAGTATTCCCTCCCTCCCTCTCCTCTCGTTCCCCTCCCTCCCTCTCCCCCTCTAGTTCCCTCCCTCCCTCTCCCTCCCTCTCTCCCCCTCTAGTTCCCCCCTCCCTCGCCGTCTCCCTCTAGTTCCCTCCCTCTCCCTCTAGTTTCCCTCCCTCCCTCCCTCCCTCTCCTCTCAGTTCCCTCCCTCCCTCTCCTCTAGTTCCCTCCTCCTCCCTCCCTCTAGCCCTCCCCTCCCTCTCCCCTTTCCCCTCCCTCCCTCTCCCTCTAGTTCCCTCCCTCCCTCTCCCCTCATTCCCTCCCTCTAGTTCCCTCCCCCTCTCTCTCCCTCTCTCCCTCCCTCTAGTTCCCTCCCTCTCTCTCCTCCTCTCTCTCTCTCTCCCTCCCTCTCGCTCCCTCTCTCTCTCTCCCTCCCTCTAGTTCCCTCCCTCTCCTCCTCCCTCCCTCTAGTTCCCTCCCTCTCTCTCCCTCCCTCCTTCTAGTTCCCTCCCTCTAGTTCCCTCCCTCCCTCTCTCTCCCTCTAGTTCCCTCCCTCCCTCTCTCTCCCTCTAGTTCCCTCCCTCTCTCTCTCTCCCTCTAGTTCCCTCCCTCTCTCTCACTCTAGTTCCCTCCCTCTCTCTCCCTCTGGTTCCCTCCCCCTCTCTCCCTCTGGTTCCCTCCCTCTCTCTCCCTCTGGTTCCCTCCCTCTAGTTCCCTCCATCTCCCTCTCTCTCCCTCTAGTTCCCTCCCTCTCTCTCCCTCTAGTTCCCTCCCTCTCTCTCCCTCTAGTTCCCTCCCTCTCTCTCTCTCCCTCCCTCCCTCCCTCTAGTTCCCTCTAGTTCTCTCTCACTCTACTGGCAGTACCCTAGGGCATACAGTCTGGAGAGAACAGTGTGGCAACAACTCAGAACTGTGTGACAACTGGGCACAGCAGCAACACCACTGGATAAACTTAGTCCACACAGCAATTAGGAGCACAGCCAAGAAGCTGGCCTATTTATCGATATGTCAGTAGTGATGCTGTTATTGCATAATGTTACCATTATATTACGCTGCTTTTACGCAGAGTGCAAATATGTGTTATTTCATTGAATGAGATTTAACATAGCAGCAGACCAGACAGAATCTGTATTTAATTCCCTAATTCATTCTGAAGTGAAGCAAATTTTTTAGAGCCACAGTCTGAATAATTAACATCTCAGGCGTTTCGATGAAACCAGAATGACTCCATAGACTAATGTATTTTTGTGTGCCTACTCAGTCTTCACAATTGAAATCAAATAACATGGCTTCCTAGAGGCAGGAGACGAGAAGCTCGGTGCTCAGAGATTTCCCCTCACCGACACAGGACTGTTTAAACTGGCATCTGACCTTTGATATTCACAGCATGCTTCTTGGACACAAAGGAATACATGGGACTACACTCGTGCAAGGCAATCTAGTACATTATCATACCACCCTAACCCTATAATTTAGAAATAAGCGAGGGATGTCGGTTGTTGGAATGAAATGCATTCCTGTCAGTCAAAAACAAGTCTTAATTAAATCAATAGAGAAATTGCAACGCATGAGAAACTTGTCCCCTTTTAATTTGAGTGAGCAAATCCTTGCCAATTGTTCATAAACAACAAGGGGGCCACTAAACTAAATGATGAGGGTGAGTGGCGTTCTCTTTGTGTTCTTGGCATCTGGTGCAGGGAGCCGGCAGAGTTAACAGAGCGTGGTGCATAGCACTGGGAGTCTGCTGGGTACAATGAGGACAACAGTGACAAAACCATGATGACGTACCAGAGATCCAAAGCCAACCGTCCAGAAGTGCTCGTTACGGACCTCCAGGACCCCCTCCAGAGTGGAGACCTGATGGGAGAGCAAGTACAGCAGGATAGAGGCCATGAGGGCTGAGACTGACATCTTCCTATCAAGGGTTGTAGGGACCAGTCAACTGGCATGGTCTGGAAAAATGATAACTAGATCTATTTATAACATGGATAGGATCCCAAAGGCAGTTGGGAATCATTGGAAGTTGTTGCACACTGTGAAAAACACTTAACAAATATAAAATATAAAACACAGAGACCAAAATTGGCTACAATGCATGTGGTAACATGCAAAACGTTTTGCCGTCTTCTTTAGGCAGTGCAACCAATAGGATGGGCTTGACCTATAGTAATAGAAAAGAGGTCAATGAGGACAACCCTCCGCAAACGCATCACTGAGTGCCATTAGGAGCAAAGATGAGAAGTCCCCATTCGCTACGCACTTTGCCTTCCACCACCATAGCTTCACACATCTAAGAGTTGGGCGATCAAAAATAGCGGGGGGCAAAATAGATTTTTAAAAGTAATTCCATTGAGCAGGGCCTTAAAAAGGGCAGTTGAAACAATAATAAAGTGTTGTCCCCGCCACTGTTTCGTTAAAAAGATGAGGGATGGGGCTGGAAAAATGTAACCACTTTCAAATTCATAGACAGAGCTATAGATGCAAGGACTGACCATCCATGATATCAAAGTTATAGTTTTAACCATGTTTTGAGGCCCAACTTATATGTTGGGTTCTGATGGGGTACGGCAGTTGAACTAAGCTCATGAGGCATTTATAAGTTATATTCTTCAAGAATTAATGGGTACATATCATTCATTTATCAGTGGAAAAAAATGGATGAAGCAACTGCAGATTGCCCCTTTAACGAGGAATTAACATGTTTGCTGTAAACGGTTTGATCACTGTGTAAATATCCCTGTATTATGTAAATAGTTTGTATTCCGCCTCACATGCCTTATTATTAACATGATGGATTTCATGTCTAACTGTAGCGCTATATCCACATTACATTACCCTTGTTATATTGTTATAATTAGGATTATCTCCTCCCTTTACTTCACTAGGGTTGTCCTCATTTGACCTCCCGTTCTGTTTCTAAGCGGCAATCTTGGATTGGAAAAACAACAAAGCATTCACCGCCCCCACACCCCCACTTCTTTTGGAAAAGACCTGAGGGATGGCACTGGAGAAGTGTAACCACTCACATTTGTAGACAGAGCAATACATGCAAGGACTGACCATCCTTGAGATTAAAATGACAGTTTATCCTGTATGTAATATCCTGTATTCCAACACAAACATCTGTAAATGAAAGCAGATGTTATTCAACCCAAATCTGAGTGTTCTTAGTCTTACCTCTCTGAGCAATTTGTCAAGCTGACCGATGACATGGGATGGAGTGGTCTAAAGAGGAGTGAGCACAAGGCAAACAGATGTGAGTCAACTCAATTCAAAACACCGCACACAGTCCAATAAGTCAATGAGTTAAGTTCCATCAAATAACATACTCTCTTACAACAAACAGTGCAAGCCAAACAGAATCCGGACCGAACATAACTCTCAATCATTCCAAGAGATAAGTGTTGAGTTGAGTTACAGTACAGTTGTCTGATCCACGTCATGTCGTACAGAGAATTCAACGATCCAATTCAGTTTAGACTGTGGACATGTTTGGATAGCCTACCTGAAGGAGCACCTTCCCGCTGTACACGCTCATAGGATACATGGTGCCAAAGATCATGAGGCCGATGGCCACCGCCGAGGCTGTGTCCACAGCATTGTAATTACTGTAGTCAGAGAGAAAGAGCATCAGGTACTTCATAATATATAATATTGGTAAGTTATAAAGTTAGGAGCATATACACTATGTACAGTGCCTTCAGGAAGTATTCCTACTCCTTGACTTATTCCTCATTTTGTTGTTACAGCCTGAATTCAAAATGGATTCAATTGATTTTTTTCCCCTTACCCATCTACACACAATACCCCTATAATGACAAAGTGAAAACATGTTTATAGACATTTTAGCAAATGTATTGAAAATGAAATACAGAAATAACTCATTTACACAAGTATTCACACCTCTGAGTGTCACGCCCTGATCTAGAGAACTCTTGTTGGTTGGGTCAGGGTGTGAGTTTCTGTTGAGATCTATGTTATTGTATTTCTATGTTGTAGATCTATGTTGATATTTCTATGTTTGGCCGGGTGTGATTCCCAATCAGAGGCAGCTGTCGCTCGTTGTCTCTGATTGGGGATCATACTTTAGTAGCCTGGTTGCCTACCTTAGTTGTGGGATCTTGTTTATGTTCCTGTTTGGCTTGTTGTGTGTATAGCCCATAGGACGTCACGTTTTGTGAAGTGTTTAGTCGTCTTAACAAATATGTACGCATATCACGCTGCACCTTGTGGTCTGACACGTCTCTCAACGATCGTGACACTGAGTCAATACATGTTAGAATCACCTTTGGCAGCGATTACAGCTGTGAGTCTTTCTTGGTAAGTCTTAGAGCTTTGCACACTTGGATTTTACAATATTTGCACATTCTTTTAAAATTCTTCAAACTGTCAAATTGGTTGTTGATCATTGGTAGACAGCCATTTTCAGGTCTTGCCATATATTTTCAAGCAGATTTAAGTCAAAACTGTAACTAGGCCAATCGGAAACGTTCAATGTTGTCTTGGTAAGCAACTCCAGTGTTTTACCTTGTTTTAGGCTATTGTCCTGCTGAAAGGTGAATGTGTCTGTTAGAAAGCAAACAACCAGGTTTTCGCGTGTGCTTACTCTATTCCGTTTCTTTTTATCCTAAAAAATCCCTTGTTCTTGCCGAAGACAAGCATATCCATAACATGATGCAGCCACCATCATGATTGAAAATATGAAGAGTGGTACTCAGTGATGTGTTGTGTTGAATTTACCCTAAAAATAATGCTTTGTATTCAGGACAAAGTTAATATCTTTGCCACATTTTTTGCAGTTTTACTTTACTGCCTTGTTGCAAACAGGATGCATGTTTTGGAATATTTGTATTCTATACAGGCTTCCTTTTCACTCTGATTTATGTTGGTATTATGGAGTAACTACAATGTTGATCCATCCTCTGTTTTCTCCCATCACAGCCATCAAACTCTACAACTGTTTTAAAGTCACCATTGGCCTCATGGTGAAATCCTTGCGTGTTGTCCCTCTCCGGCAACTGAGTTAGGAAGGATGCCTGTATCTTTGTAGTTACTAGGTGTATTGATACATCATCCAAACTGTAATTAATAACTTCAACATGCTCAAAGGGATATTCAATGTCTGCTTTTAAAAATTTATTTGTATCTACCAATAGGTGGTTTTCTTTACGAGGCATTGGAAAACCTCCCTGGTCTTTGTGGTTGAATCGGTGTTTGAAATTCACTGATTGACTGAGGGACCTCACAGTTAATTGAATGTGTGGGGTACAGAGATGAGGTAGTAATTAAAAAATCATGTTAAACACTTATTGCACACAGTGAGTCCATGCAACTTATGTGACTTGTTAAGCACATTTTTACTCCTGAACTTATTTAGGGTTGGCCTAAAAAGGGGTTGGAATAGTTAGACTAATTTCAGTTATTCCTTTAATTAATTTGTAAACATTATATATATATTTTTTTAAACACTGACATTATGGGGTATTGTATATGGAACAGACACAAAATATCAATTTAATCAATTTTAAATTGAGGCTGTAACACAAACAAATGTGGAAAAAGTCAGGAGTTGTGAATACTTTCTGAAGGCACTGCATGTCAGGAGTTATCATTGAGGTTGATAAGTAACAGAAGGATGTCCCACACACAGCAGGCAGACAAGGGCTTTGTGAGAACACATTCAGAGTACACATTCTTCCTCATCCCCAGTCTCGATTTATAACTTCCCCGAATCCACCAACTAATGCCATTACACCGTGTCGGAGGGGAGGACTTACTTGATCTCGATGAGCATGTAGGTGATGCTGAGAGCGAGAGCTCCGGCCACGTTGATTAAGACAAATGGATTCATTCGAGGCAGAAGGACACTGCTGAGGCCAGGGATAATCCCACACAGGCTGAAAACATACAAAATTAGATTACTATAGTAAACCAGTCAACCCTGCAGTTTTGCTCCAAACGCATAAAAAGTGTCTAAACTGGTTAGTTACTTTGACAACACATATTACTAAAGAAATCACACAAACATTCCAAGACAGGGACTCACAGAAAGCACCTGTAATATACATATCCATTTTAAAAGGTGAAAATATTAATATTGCTGAGACTAAGTGATTGTAATCTTCCAAAAATGTGTTATATACATTCAGCACTCACAGTGTGACGTCGAGCACTCACATTTAGCCAGTGTGACATCCAGCACTCACATTTAGCCAGTGTGGCGTCGAGTACTCACATTTAGCACAGTTTTCTATTTGAAGCCTTGTACACAGGTTTTGGCATATCATTATTTGGAATAGGTCACGATTAGATAAATACTGAGAAGATTAATTTATATATTCTTGGCACCCAACTCGTCAATGTATTATTTTACAGACAGAATGCTGCATTCGTTCTGTGTTTTTGGATCAGATTTTAAATTCTCTGTTTGGAATGTGCTGCACCCTGTTCAGAAATTACCAATTTCTGATCCAATTCAGATGGCTTGCCTTTTATAATGCCATTGTCATATAAATGGCCATTAAACATTAATGTTTGCTTTTCAGCATGCGACTGAATGAAATACATTACTCTCATTTCCCAAGAAAAAACCCCAGATCCCTATAGTGAATGGAACCCTCTCTTCTTACAGCTGTGTTGAGATGAGACAGTGCGCATGGTTTACAGATCAGTCATGTGTTTATTCAGGAACGTTAATGCAGTGCATTAGGAGGTGTAGGTGTGATTATATGATAGGAAGTGACGTCCTGCTCAGACAGAGGGGTGCTGTGTCTGACCGCAGAGTGTCTTGAGACCATACATCATACTCATCAGCATCAGTAGAGGGCAATGAGTTCACTCACATTTAGCCAGGGTGACGTCAGGCCCTCACATTTAGCCAGGGTGACGTCAGGCCCTCACATTTAGCCAGGGTGACGTCAGGCCCTCACATTTAGCCAGGGTGACGTCCGGCACTCACATTTAGCCAGGGTGACGTTTGAAGTGATGTACACAGGTTTTGGCATATCATTATTTGATTAGATAAATACTGAGAAGATTAATTATATATACTGTGTTTAAACTGCATCACTGTTCAACGTCAACCTCATAGTGGACATGCAATGATACTAGTCCTCTGATGTCCAACATGGACAAAATAAACAATAGGCATTTTTTTTAAAGAAAATGCATTAACATAAAGAAGCTTGACCTCCGGTCACTTCATTTGAAACCAACATTTTTTTGGGGGGTGGGGTGATGTGAGTGGGAAGCAGGATTTACAATCCGAATAATCTCCTTATCTCCCCGCTGCAATTATATAATTTGAGTACTAGGGAAACGGTTGTGTGATTCCATGGCCGCCTGTCTGCACAGTCTGTGCGGCCGGCGCTGCCTAGAAAGAGCGAGAGAAGGAGGGAGAGAGAACACTGTGTGTGGATAGAGGGAGCTTTGTTCCAGAGTTTGTTTAATCCCACCCACTGGAGACAGAAATTGTGGGATTATGGTGAGACAAACAAACACTTGATATGATGTATGTTGACTATAAATACAGACTAAACGCCGTTGCCCAAACAATAGTACACCGTGGACTAGCTCCGAGGGTTATAATGTCTAGCCACCAAACACCAGGGAGGGTAGTGTGGCCCAGAGACATGCATGATATTAAAACGATGAGTAAACGTCATCCGGGACATCCTGTTCACTGTGCCTTCTACTCAGAACAATCAGAACTTTACTCTTATATATATACACTAGGTGCTGTTTCCCCAGGTAATCTGAAGAGTGGGTGAGATTCAGATGAGGCTGGTGGGAGGAGCTATAAGAGGACGGTCTCATTGTAACGGCTGGAATGGGTGATTGATTCCATTTCAGCCATTACAATGAGCCCATCCTCCTATAGCTCCTCCCACCAGCCTCCTCTGGTGGGATTGTATGCATCTTTCTCTATTCAGGAGGGAATGTGTCAGAAAGCCAGTTCATCATATTTGGGGTTTTATAATCAATCATGAGACTTCAGTCATTGCCAACTGCACACTCCCAGAATATTTTTCCAAATGATTCCTCCTACTCCAAACAGCCTTTTGTAATTTTTCACTTCCTGAGTAGGCAGGTTCCATACCGGGGCACCAGCAGAGACTGTAAAGGTGCAAGATGATCTCAACATTCTGGACTGAAACAAAACCCACCAACATTCATTATTTAGACAAAACTAGTGAGGCGATTCATCATCCTGGAAGATACTGTATGAGAGGGGAGGGGTGGAGAGGAGAGGGGAGGGGTGGAGAGGGGAGAGGAGTTTCACTGCACAGCCCTGCACGGGGTCTCCAGTGGTGACGGTCAGGAGCAGATAGTGGCTGCACTGAGTGCATCTAGCAGGTCTTAACCTCAGGGTGAGAGCGCACAGCACAATATGGTGGAGGTGAAAGGGAAGATAACAGTTTCACCTCTGACCTCTATAGGCAGGTTTGGCCAGAGGCGGTCATTGTAATCCACATCTGCCACGCTGAGTCCCCTCCTGTACTCCCTGTTCACCCATGACTGCATGGCCAGGCACGACTCCAACACCATCATTAAGTTTGCCGACGACACAACAGTGGTAGGCCTGATCACCGACAACGATGAGACAGCCTATAGGGAGGAGGTCAGAGACCTGGCTCTGTGGTGCCAGGATAACAACCTCTCCCTCAACGTGATCAAGACAAAGGAGATGATTGTGGACTACAGGGGGAAAAAAAGAGGACTGAGTACGCCCCCATTCTCATCGATGGGGCTGTAGTGGAACAGGTTGAGAGCTTCAAGTTCCTTGGTGTCCACATCACCAACGAACTAACATGGTCCAAACACACCAAGACAGTCGTGAAGAGGGCACGACAAAGCCTATTCCCCCTCAGGAGACTGAAAAGACTTGGCATTAGTCCTCAGATCATCAAAGTTCTACAGCTGCACCATCGAGAGCATCCTGACTGGTTGCATCACCGTCTGGTATGGCAACTGCTCGGCCTCCGACCGCAAGGCACTATAGAGGGTAGTGCGTACGGCCCAGGACATCACTGGGGCCAAGCTTCCTGCCATCCAGGACCTCTATAGCAGGCGGTGTCAGAGGAAGGCCCTAAAAATTGTCAAAGACTCGAGCCACCCTAGTCATAGACTGTTCTCTCTGCTACCGCACGGCAAGCGGTACCGGAGCGCCAAGTCTAGGTCAAAAAGGCTTCTTAACAGCTTCTACCCCCAAGCCATACAACTCCTGAACAGCTAATCATGGCTACCCAGACTATTTGCATTGCCCACCCCAACCCACTCTTTTACGCTGCTGCTACTCTGTTTATTATTTATGCATAGTAACTTTAACTCTACCCACGTACATATTACCTCGACTAACCGGTGCCCCCGCACATTGACTCTGTACCGGTACCCCCTGTATATAGCCTCGCTACTGTTATTTTATTTGACTGCTTCTTTTTAATTTGCTATTTTGTACTTATCAATTCTTTACTTAACCAACAATGCAGTTTAAGAAAATAAAAAAGTGTTAAGGGCTTGTAAGTAAGCATTTCACTGTAAGGTCTGCACCTGTTGTATTCGGCACGTGGCAAATAACATTTGATTTGATTTGAAATGACATGACACCGGCCCTTGCTTCCCATACCTAACAATCATCCCAAGAAGCTCAATCAATTAAGCCAATATTTTCCCTGACAAAGACACTCCATAACGTGTTGTTGAATATACCACACCCCATGTCGTGTATATTTTATTTACCCTTTAACCTCAGTTTGATTGGGACAGACTGCTAGTCACATTACACACACTGTGGTGCATCCATCTCCTGAGGGAAACTGTCCACTTGTGGACTAAGGGGAAAAACAAGGAGGATCGAAACAGCAGGATGACTCACTGAAAGGGGATCTTACCTTCGACTTAGGTCTGCAACATGCTCCTGGAGCCAACTGGTGCTGGCAGCTGTTGGGGGGGATGGGGGAGAGACGAGGAGACAGAGACAGACGACAGGGGTAAGAGTTAGACACTTTCAAAACACAGGCAGAGAGCATCACTCTAGCAGCCCTTATCTGCAGTCTGTTCCCATACGTCTTCCTCCACGGCGGCCATTGTTGTGGCGGTAACCGAAGCCTGAGTGCCATTTGAGTGGAGCGTGTCCTCTGAGCTGTCCACCCCACAGGATGGCTTACCCTCACAGATGACTGACCAGGGGAGGGCACAGATATGCTTTTAGAGCATCCCACCGCCATCTGGGACATTTAAACACATGGCTATAGAACAAACCTCTCAGTCCATGTCACAGAAATATAGGCCAATTTACTGTGGTTTAGGCAGATAAGTGAGAGAGACTAGAAACAAGCCTTAGTAGAAGAGAACGATGGGCGCACTAGGCTACATGCAGCGACGCCTGAGACCAGCTGATAGTAAGTTGAGACAATATCATTTCCCCCTCCCCCCAATACAATCTATACTTTCCCCAAATAACTGGTCTTCTCCATGAAGTAACGACAGAAGTAGCCGATACCAATGGACTACATGGACACCGAAAAGACAATTCAGAAAGGGAAAAAAAAGCATGTACACTACATGACCAAAAAGTATGTGGACACCTGCTCGTCGAACGTCTCATTCCAAAATCACTCTTCTGGGAAGGCTTTCCACTAGATGTTAGAACATTGCTGCGGGGACTTGCTTCCATTCAGCCACAAGCGCATTAGTGAGGTCAAGCACTGATGTTGGGCGATTAGGCCTGGCTCGCAGTCGACATTCCAATTCATCCCAAAGGTATTTGATGGGGTTGAGGTCAGGGCTCTGTGCAGGCTAGTCAAGTTCTTCCACACCAACCTCGACAAACCATTTCTGTACGGTCCTCGC